TGGATGGATGGATGGATGGATGGATGGATGGATGGATGGGTGGATGGATGAAACACGTTATCTTTACCAGGGAAGTCTTCCCATCAAAGGCACTGGAATTAGTGGTTACACCCAAATGCCGTCCCAGCACAGGGACAGGCAGAATCCTTCAGTGGCTGCTGAATTAGCAAAAGAAAAGGCCCTGTCATGCCTAGGATCTGGGCACTGACTCCAAATGCAGGGCTCCATCTACCACACTGCATACAGAGCTCATGCTCCAAGGCCCTGCTTGGAGACCACCTCCTCCAGGAGGCCTGCCATGCTGTCACCTCCTCTGGCTTACAACATAGATTGTCTCCATGTCTGTCTTCTGTCCCTGTGTGGGAGCAACACAGAGGCTAGAACAGTATCGTGGTCATCTCCAAATCCCCCAGCGCCTGACACAGGCTGGCATCAAAAATGGGACTATGACATGGGCAGGGTGGGGAGCTTTCAACAAAAGCTCCTGGGTACTATGTGATGTGTCACCATGGCCATGCATTACTTTGATAAAAGTGAAACTTTTCTTAAAACACACATAAGTATGTTCTAAAAGAAAGAATGATCGATTAGAAATGGAGGGGATGAAGTTTAACCAGGTATTTGAAGCAGCGGATAAAGCAATAGTAATCGAACAGTATGCTATGGGCTAAAACTATGGGAGCAGGTGTCAAAGGAGAGGGAAAGATGTCCCCCAAAGTCCTGTGTCATAGCCCACTCATTAAATGCTGGCTAGAACAGAACCGCCGTGAAAGGTGGGGCCCTGCGTGCTTGTCCCTCCACGCACAGGGCAGGCACTCAGCAGATACCTGGAGGATGCATGGTAATGCATCTCACCCGCCCTGAAAATACAGGCCTCACAACCCAAAGAAGCCGGTATTATTTTCCCCATTTAAAACAGAGGAAACGGCTGAGAGGATGAGCAGTTGCCCGGACGGCACAGAGGCAGAGGGCAGACTTCGAAGGTCCTTTTGCCTCCTCGGCTTGCCCTCCTGGCTGTGGGTTCCGACAGCAGGGGTCAGGCTCTGCTGCACCCCACACCATATAACCAATGCTTAGCTTGGCCCTGGCACATGACAGGTGTTCAATGAGTGTGTTAGTGGTTCGGGGAGGGAGGTCTTACCCGCAGTGAGCAGTGGGGAATGGCATTGGGAATGTGAGCAAAAGAGACCCTGGATTTTGATCTGCGTGTGCTGGGAGTAGGGAGGGGGTCTCGCAGTGGGTCTCCCCGATGTCACCAGAGCCTACCTCAAGTGGGCTTATTCATTCACTCGTCTGTTCCACCGAGAAAGAGGTGCCACGTGCGGGAGTCAAACTTGCTTCCTGCTTTCAAGGGGGACCTGAGGAGTAGGTGGCAGTTCTCCAGGCAGGGCCTGGGTCAGCCTCTGTTCAGTTACACCCTCCCTCCCCCAGGGTGCCTGGAATGGGTCCTGGGAGCACACTGGACTCGGGACCTGGCTACTGAGCAGCAGTGAACAGAGCCCCTGAGGTGGTGGGGGCATCTGTTCTCTGTTTACCTCTGCCTAGGGTTCCACTGAACCAGAGCCCTTGGAGGGGGTAAGAAAGGAGGGAGAGAGGGGGACCCTGAGGGCTTCCAGGCTTCCCCTGGCTTAGCCTCCAAGACACTAAGACCTGGGGCTTCCCCCTCGGCCCTCCTCTTGAAGGGCCATTTCTAGAGGGAAGAACTTACAAACCAAGGGGAGATGTCACTAAGCCAGCCTCTGTGCTCAGGCACAGCGGAGCCACCACCTCCTGTGTGCACACAGACCAGATGGAAACACCCACATCTACACCCACCACACAGTGAATGCTCAGGGTGTGTGACCACAAAGGCATACAACGTATGCAGCATGCCCAAGCACGGTGACCACATATGTACCACAAACCAGTGGGGGCCCTTGTCACACACAACACAGCGTTCAACACAGCACTTAGTCACACATGTACCACATCCATGGTTACACAAACCAACACAAACAGGTGTGTCCACAGCACAAGCATGAGTGTGCACATACTGTAGACCCTTTATGGGCCTGGGTACACAATACCCACAGCAAGCACACGTGGAAAAGAGAGGAGGCCCAGGTGTGTGCAAATACACCACCTGCAACTGTATAAATGTAACTCACATGGATGTGCACTCAAACA